TATATTTTCTTCGACTCTCTTAAACGGGTACCATTTTGCTTCAAAACACGATGTGGCGATTAAACCCCGCACCATTAATGTTATTAGTCTCTTCAGGATCTTTGGCCTCACTACCTTTTGACTTCTCGACTTGCTTACATTTTCTAATTATCAGTCCAGGTGCAGCATCTTCTATCCCCTGGTCCCCTGACAAAGATTCTGTTTTGTTCAGAATTTTTTCCCCCATCTTTGTAATCTACAAACTGATCGGCCGTGTCCTGTGTATCTAAAGAGTCATCTCGTGTAGTTTCTTGCTTTTGCCTGTCCTCAACAGCACCAAGCCATTGAGGCTTAGTAACAGTAAATACAGTAGGAGTATCACTCTCTTCATTTTCGACTCCGGATCTTCATTCTTCGCGTGAGGATCTGATATTGAGTTTGCATTGGTTTTCTCTTGACTGGATTTGACCGGCGAGGATACTGGGGCTAATTGCTTATTTTTGCTTGATGAGGGGACGATTTACACATTCTTTTGGGGCAAGGGTCAATTGATCGTGTCGAAAGAGTGTTTTTTGCTCACTACCGTTTTAGGATTTTGTACTTTGGATTCTCTTTTCTTAGCTGCTTCTCCGGTTGGGCCGGCTATTCTCAGCAAATAGAGAATCCTATCCAGCTCAGACTGAAGGGTGGACATCTCTTTCTGGAGCTTCTCCTTACGATCCAAAACTGTCGACCAACAAAGAGAACCAGCAAAAAAAGTCCAATAAATGATGTGGCATATAAACAACCATTTTTTGGGACAGAGGCTGAGCAGTTTTTTTATTCTCAATTAATTAATTTCCATTTCTTTTATTTCAAGGGAAGGGTGCAATTAAGTGCCACAAAAATTTTGAATGAAAACAGAACACTTCTGAGGAAAACAGCATGCTGCAATGCACAAGTTGAGAATTAAAGAGAAATTACTAAGAAAATTTAACCAAAAGATATATACAACTATGTATTACTCAAATACAGATTTTACCCTTTTTTCACTCTGCGCATTAACAGATAATATGTGGGATTAGCTTTACCTAGCTGAGACGACACGGCCGACATATACGCATCAAGTGCATCGCCAGCTTCAGCCACCTCATTTGGCTCTACTGCTTCACCGTCCTCGAGGAGCAACTTTTCCTTATCTTGTATTTGCTTCGTAAGGGCATCCTTCTTATCAAGAAGAGAATCAGCTGTTTCGACTGATTGTTTTTCACCAGGCTTGTGCTTTGAGGACTTCTTTGTTCGATTGTAGAACTCGTCATCGTTACTACCTATTACGGACATAGTAAACGCACAAAAATTCTACAGAAAAATGTAAGGGCATTTAAATGTTCGCACTAAATATTCACTACAGTAGACATGCACCAGTTGACAAACACACACACACACACAGATAGCGACTATGCTTCCCAACCCAGAATGGAAGAATTGTACACTTCACAAAAAGGCTGACATAGAATGACATCAATTGAAACTTAGTAATCAATCTCCAACGTTTAATGGAAATATTATGATACCTCAAATAATCTTGTTCATCATCGTCTATAGCGCCCTTCTTACCATGGGACAACTTCCCTCTTGCACCTAAACTTTCCCGAATACTTTCATTCAGCGTCTCTTCCAAGTTCTCAAGCTCTTCCATTATCTACAAAAATGTGAGTGTTAGAATTGCCACGTAATGAAATGCTAAAGATATTAAAATAGTAACTGACAAATCCTAGTAAACTGTCACGCTTCCAAATGCATTCTCCAAATCATGGCAGTTTCCATAAATGTATCTTGACACAGGTAGATGCAAGTCATTTCTTAAACCTATTGATTGATTATATAAAGTCCCATTCTCAAATGAGTTGACTGAATAACCTCCATTCTCAATTATCCACCTAGAAAAGAGATGCATGGCGAAAACACAGGAGGTTCAGGAAGAACAGAATGAGCAAGAAACATCACAATTTAATAGGTTTCTTTCATGTTAATCATTGTAATGTGATGTTACCTGTATTTCCCAGGAATGAAGTGCAAGGTATACACACACAATTCTGAGGGTTCAGCAAGAAAGGATCAAGAAAATGATGGGATCATCATATGAGATATCCTAATCTATAGGATATTTACAATAACAATTATATACCTGTGATATCCGTTGCTCATTTCTAGCAATCTGAGTTTGTTGCCCTTGTGTCAAGCCACCTTGAGCAATATCCTTCGCCCGTATTGCGTCAATCTCTTTCTTCATGTGAGCAATCTACAGATGATGAGAAATTCAGTACTCTACACATTATGAAATGCCTACACATAATGGAGTATGACCCAAAAGAACTAAATTGAAAATTCCTGCTTCAAAACACGATGGGGCGATAAATATATGTTATCCACATCAAGTAATGGTGCCGTGTTCGAAAACAAGTCTTTCCGGAGACGTTGCTTTCATATTTCGTACTTGCCCCTATTTACCCTTATTTTCCTCGACTTTCTTAAAAGTGTACCGTTTTGCTTCAAAACACGATGGAGCGATAAATATATGTTATCCACATCAAATAATGGTGCCGTGTTCGAAA